GTGTAAAAGCGTCTGTGTGTGTAAAAGTCTCTGTGTGTAAAAGCGTCTGTGTGTAAAAGGGTCTGTGTGTAAATGTGTTTGTGTGTCAAAGCGTCTGTGTGTAAAAGCGTCTGTGTGTAAAAGTGTTTGTGTCAAAGTGTTTGTGTGTAAAAGCGTCTGTGTGTAAAAGCTTCTGTGCGTAAAAGCGTCTGTGTGTGTAAAAGTCTCTGTGTGTAAAAGCGTCTGTGTGTAAAAGCGTCTGTGTGTAAAAGCGTCTGTGTGTAAAAGTGTTTGTGTCGAAGTGTTTGTGTGTAAAAGCGTCTGTGTGTAAAAGTGTTTGTGTGTAAAAGCGTCTGTGTGCGTAAAAGTCTCTGTGTGTAAAAGCGTCTGTGTGTAAAAGCGTCTCTGTGTAAAAGCGTCTGTGTGTAAAAGTGTCTGTGTGTAAAAGCGTCTGTGTGTAAAAGCTTCTGTGTGTAAAAGCGTCTGTGTGTGTAAAAGTCTCTGTGTGTAAAAGCGTCTGTGTGTAAACGTCTCTGTGTGTAAAAGCGTCTGTGTGTAAAAGCGTCTGTGTGTCAAAGCGTTTGTGTGTAAAAGCGTCTGTGTGTAAAAGCGTCTGTGTGTAATAGTGTTTGTGTAAAAGTGTTTGTGTGTAAAAGCGTCTGTGTGTAAAAGCGTCTGTGTGTAAAAGCGTCTGTGTGTGTAAAAGTGTCTGTGTGTAAAAGCGTCTGTGTGTAAAAGCTTCTGTGTGCAAAAGCGTCTGTGTGTGTAAAAGTCTCTGTGTGTAAAAGCGTCTGTGTGTAAAAGTCTCTGTGTGTAAAAGCGTCTGTGTGTAAAAGCGTCTGTGTGTCAAAGCGTTTGTGTGTAAAAGCGTCTGTGTGTAAAAGGGTCTGTGTGTAATAGTGTTTGTGTAAAAGGGTCTGTGTGTAAAAGCGTCTGTGTGTGTAAAAGCTTCTGTGTGTAAAAGCGCCTGCGTGTAAAGCGTCTGTGTGTAAAAGCGTCTGTGTGTAAAAGCGTCTGTGTGTAAAAGGGCCTGTGTGTAAAAAGCGTGTCTCCATACTAACAACAGAAGACTCTGCTCCTCTACGCTCTCGGGCCATCCGTCGTCTAGTTAGGTCTTTTCAAGGTATCTCACCTGTTGGCTGGTGGGCTCGACCCCGAAAAATCTCCGTCAAAGATCTTCAGCGCAGATGTGATTGAAAAAGATTGACCGCAAAAATAAAAGGAGATAGATAAATGAACCATTATATAAACGAAGACATAAATACACAAACAAATAATATGAATTGATAAATAAATAAATTCATAATATATATATATAATTATATATATATTATATATATATTATATCTCTCTGAAACCACCAAGTATATTGGATTTTGGGGTGCCCTATCTTTGGATACTCCACATGTTTGAGTTTCGCACCTCCCCCAAGCGGAGGGACAGGAGTTCCACAGGGTCTGTCAACACCTTGAAGTCTCCTGTTGCGGCTGAGGTCTCCACTTTGACTCCATTGAGTTTTTGGCCAAGATTTTGTTGAAGGTTTGTTGAAGTACACTTTGCATCTAAATCCTGATGTCACAACATCTGCAAGAAATTTCCAGATATTCCTTGCGTCCAAGCATTGGGAGCCAAATAAACCGATAAACCCATTACAGTAATTAATCCACGTGGCTTTGCTCCACACGATTGGAAAGTTTCATACTGAAAATGGCCAAGGTCTGCATTCCCAGCTACCCAGTCCTTCCCTCTTGTCAAGGTCCACTCCCAGCCAAAGTGCATCCCCAGTGCGGTCCAGCGGCCAAAAAGGCCAAAATGCATCCTGACAGGCAACCGTTGACATGAGAGGACCCCCGAATTTCAACGTGGCACCAAAAGAAACTTAAGGCCATTTCCGCCGAAAAGTCATATTCCAACTCGAAATTTGGGGGGTCCATGTGAATATCTGGCATCATTCTGGAAGTGTTTTCGACCCAAAAAAGAAAGCTCCTCAACTAGATCATCCCGAAGCGATGTTGAATATATGCAACTTCCAAATCCCCAATCTCTAAGTGGACCGTGGACCAGGCAGCGTGTTTCACGCAGCAAAACCCCAGTGCCGCTGCCGCCCAGCATCGATGTTCACACCATTGATCTCAGGAAGCTTCACCTGCGACCCGGGGATGACTTCCGGAAGTGGGCACTCGACACATTTTGCTCTTGGAGCTCTTGGGTTCCAATGATGCGATTTGCATCAGTTGGTCGCCCCCGTAGTCCTCAAATTCTTGTTTGAACTATCAGCCTTTTGTGATTGAGCTTTATCAGCTTTTAACTCAGCCATAGTAACCAAAAAAATAGCAAAAGAATCTCGTTGACCACCATCTTATAGTATGTCTGTAGGATTCTACAAGGTGACGGTGATGACGCCCAGTTGTAACTTGCCGTACAAACATTCAAAATAAATCCATCTAACCGTAGTTAGGCTAGTCATAAACCAACTTATCTAAGTGGGGGGCACCACCTTTTATATCCCATTATATCCGAACGACATCCTCTTGAACTCCGCACGGCATCACCAGTCTTGTTGCTGATCTCCCCATGGGTTCACCATGGATCACCCCTTAAAAAATCGGCCTCGCAGAGCACCGCCTTCAAGCGGAGTTTCGCTGGGATCACTGAGCTGGTGTCTTTGCACAAGCGACGTTTGGAGCCCTCGGTCAGAAGGATCAAATTCCTGGGCACTGATTTCAGCGGCCACACGTCCCAAAAAAATCAAGATGGAGATGGGGAGATAGAGACAACTGGTAGAGATTTAATGGGATTGAATGAGTGTTCAATGATTTAGTAAAATTAGTTGCTTTTTTCATTGGATTTAGTTCAACTTAGTTCTTGTTTCTATGGCATTTCATGGGATTAATCGGTGTTGAAGGGATTTTATGGAACTACAACCTAACCAGCCTTTTGAATCTCTCAAAGTCTCATGATACCACTTAGATCCACTTAGTGGGCACAGTCTTGTTTCATACAACATGCCGTTGAGCCAATGTCAGTGCACAAGCCCTTGTGGTTTACCAGCAGCCCAAGAGAACAACAACAGCTGCTGCAGCAACAGGGAAACGCTGAGTTCAACGAACAAATCTCCGCAACTGCAAAGATGTCCTAACATGTCCAAAGAATTTTTCGTGAAAACAACATAAATAAACAATTGTTCAAATTATATATCTGCTGCTGATCCCTTGCCACAAGCGCGCCAGTCTTCCAGCTGCTGATCGTTGCAAGGCTCTCCCCCAGCCCCGAGGCATCCATCAGTTCGGTGACAAGAACTTCAAAGCGCTCCGCCTCCGACTCTCGCTCGCCAATGCCCCTGGATCCACTGGGCGACCGAAAAACTGGGAGAAATATGGAGAAACGCTCTAAGGCTCAACACATCTCAACACCCATCCTGGTTCTTTGCATACTGGTAAACACTAAGAGAAAACACTTGAGATTACTCATCATTTCTTTTTAGAGGATAGACATGTTCTATTATTTCAATTCCACATAACCTCATGACCCGCGCACTATGGTCCAGTTTCAGGAACTTGTAATCTCAACCCTGAATTCATAAATGTTTGATTGGTTTAAAGTGTTACTGTTTGAAAAGCATATTGTCAGTTTATCCACGTTTTGGGGCTACAGTATATAAGCAACATGAAACTCCGCATAGTAATTATCCAAATTGCTGGGTTTTGAATCCTTGTCTTTATTAGTATCCCAACATTTTTGGAGCTTGAATCCCTATGACTTAGCCCTGGAAAATGGACCATTTAACTACTTCGATGACCAATTTTATTTCCATGGCCATCTCCCATAGAAAACACATATAAATTACCCATTCAACACATCAATTCAATCATTCAACCCATTTCTAGTGCTCACTCACCAGATTTCAAGCCAAAAGCTGAGTGAAAACCCACAGGGTTCAATCGCACTATCAAACAGAAAGCTGCTGACTAGTGTTTTTTTTCTACAACCTATGGATTTTTAATCATAGCCAGGTCACCGCACATCGGTGCACCAAATCTCCAGGGGCGTCTCGATCGGCACCTTCCGCGCGGCGCGATTCGCTGCGATGACCTCCTCTGAGGCGCGCGCGATCTGCGTGACGTACTCCACACCTGAAGCCAGGGAGGACGGTGATTTTTTGGTTAATTTATGTGTTTGTTTGTTTATACATATACATATATATATATACATACATATATATATATAGTGTGTGTGTATGTATGTCTGTATGTCTGTATGTCTGTATGTCTGTATGTCTGTATGTCTGTATGCATGCATGCATGTTTGTATATGCGTACACTGTGTGTGTGTCTCTACTGTCTGCATATGTGTATGTATATATATATACAACATACAGTACATACAGCAGATATCAGTAGATCCACAAAAAATAGTAAGATTGGCCCCGGTTTGGTCGAACTGACCAAAATTCTGCAACTGTGCCCTGAATTGTTTGCCCTCGCTGCCCAAAGACCCAGGCCATAGGTGGCCCCAGCTCTGAGAGCCATCAAAGATAGGATGCCTTCAGCAGGATGCAATGGCTTACGAGTCAACTGATTGAGTTCCAGATTTGGATCTGTGATCTGAGATCTGTGGCAAGTCTCAAATTTGAAGCCACTGCAGGGTTTGTGTGGCTTCGTCCTAGTCTTTCAATCTCTTTGCAGCAGTGTTTTCTGAAATCCACAATGCAGTCTGGCAACCGTCGCCGCTGCCCACATCGAGGACTTTGCATTCTGGACGTGTCTCCTGTTGTCACGCAGCACAAGAAATGAGAGTCTCCACGGGCAATCGTTCAATCATGTCTAATCCATCTATTGCGATTGCTGATGAGAAAGGACCTGGTGTATGGCATCCTATGGATAATGTTGTGTTCTATTATATCACGAGTATCAAAATGAACAATGCACATTGTCACATTGGAAAGAGATGTCTGCGTGTATTGTCAACTGCAGTTTCACTCTTCCCGGAAACAAGGCCAAGGAACCCATGCAATGAATGGAATAGGAATGAGACTGGAAATCAGTTGCGGAGATACTGTGATAGATATCGCGATTCTAGGCTTTTGCTAAGAGATCTATATGATCTAAGAGTTATCCCAATCTGCATGTATGGAACATCCTGTGTACCGCTGGGTACCTAGCGAGGCATAGCTCACCATTTTGTGGATTGTTATATAATTTGACTGTTTGGATATGGAGGTTTCCTAAAATAGGGCTACCCCCAAATCATACCATTTTATTTTGGGCCTTTCCATGAAATAAACCATCCAGCTATTGTGTACCCGGTGTACTCCCATTTTAGGGTTCCCCCATATAGCCCCGGGCGCTTTGAGTGAGACAACGCAACAGCATCACCTTCACCTTTGCGATTTCCACTTGTAGTGCTTTTTCGTACAACTCATGCCTGCAACGGAATAGGATGGACCAGCAAACTGGCAAACTAATTGAAACCGCAACACAAGGGTGTGCCTGAGATCCATCCTGAAGACCAGATCTGTCAGCAATCAGACTCTGTAAAATCTCAATCTAGCCGAATCTAGCCATCAAGAATTCCATTCTCAGATCTCACTCGGATCTCATACTTAGCAACCCTCTTGCTGTCCCAACATCGCCACCCAATCTTGACCTCGCATCATCTCTGAGCATCTCGAAGTACCACTCAGATAAAGCCATGAAGCCAAAGGGTGGATATAGGCTCTTGGCCTCCAGCGCCCCCAGCCACGACAAGTCCAAGGTACGAGATGGCCTTCGAACTTCTACGAATGGTATCTGACAGAATGGTTTTTACGCTACCACGAAAAAAGGCCCGCCCCAAGCAACTTGTTGGCGTCTAGCTCAACCATCATTGATTTGAACAAACGAAACATCCAGAGGAAACCATGGTTTTTAACCAGGAAATGGATGGAAATGGAAGGATTTCAGCTGTAAAATGTCGTCCAAAAGTCTGGATTTCGCTTCAGATTCAGCCGAGGTGCCCCATCCCATTCCAGCCACACTCTGCTATCGTTGCGCCAAGCACAGAGTTTCGACTCTGCACCGGCCAGCTGCAGACCCCCAGGGATCCACTGTGCGAATCGCAAGGAAGCAGGGCCCTTCGACCTGGATGTTGGAAAACCCATCCAACTCAGCAGGTGAAAAATGTGAAAAGAGGGAGAATGTGATGGGAATTGAAGGTCAAGTTGCAAGATATCGTGTGGTTCTGCAAATTTACCTGAGACAGGATCTTCATCTATGACAATGAGCACTCTTGGTGATTGGAACAGTGATGTATTTCAATGAAAGCGTGAAGGCCTTTTTTTACATTGAAGCTTCCATTTCTTCAGCATTAACTTCCGATCCATGAACACATGGGTTCGCAGAACGTCAGGGAGGTGTTTGCTTTGCAAAAACATGAGGATGGCTTGGGCTATGGGTCAAATGTCAAGAATCATTCAACATCCGGGACCTTAAACTTGAAACAATCCAGAAACGAGTATGAACTACCCTCCAATATGTGGATATTCATAATCAATTAGACATATTGTGTATCTATATCATGCATATATATATATATATATACATAGATAGATACATATCATGTAAATCATATACTGTACATCATATACATCATATACATTGATTTCTTGGATAATTCTCTAGGCTTAGCTTCCGGAAACCCCACCTGGGCAGCTCGAAACGACACTCGAAGACACAGGCGTTGGCCGCGACCTTCGACGGCCGTGCCGAGAAGGCCAGGCTTTTGGGGCCGTCCAGCGCCAGGCTGGGACACGCCAGGTCCTCGGGCCAAAAATCGGAAGTTCCAATGGATATCATATTATATATATATACCCTCTGGTAATTTAACATAGCTATTGAAAATGGCCAGTTATAGTTGGTTTTCCCATTAAAAATTGTGATTTTCCATAGTTATGTTAGTTTACCAGAGGGTATCAGTGGGAAAGATATGGTAATCTATATCTATATATCAATATCAATATCATATATATATACAGTTTTAGTCGAAAATCTATATGTCAATGGGAACTTCAGGATCCTAAAATGGAGGTACTGTACTATATAAAACCCATATTTTCTGGGGATATTCTCTTACATAGGCCTGACAAATAGGCCTTATAGTAGGTACCTCCAATTTAGATTCCTGAAACGGCCATTGAATATTATATATATATATATGATATCTATATATATATGATATCTATATATATATATTACAGTATGTTATATATATATGGGACCTATATTTGGAGATACTCTTTAAAACATGATCATATATCGTTTTGTAGAAATTGAAGATATGGAAATATGATGTAATATGTATATATATATATAGTCTTACTGGCACATTGCCATGAATCATAAAATAAACGGACGATCAACAACAAATGGCGACTACATAATCCATTATTTGCGGGAGAAGTGGGGATTGTGAGGGGCTTTATAATGGATAGAAATAGGCATGCCAACAAATAGGCGGATCCCGAAGTGGGGACGCAATGGACTAAAGTGAGAATGTATCCAAGAAAATCTGAAGTTCCAAGAAAAAGCGAATCTTCTCATGTCACTGTAATGCTCCTGTACTGTCAAAGAAGTGCTTTTGCCGTTCCTCACGGCAGGTTCAGAGGACGTCGGGGATATAAGTTGACGAGTTGACGAGCTGAGGCCCACCCAGGGTGCAGATCAAGCATCGTAGTCAAAGGCTTGGACGAAGTCGGTCAAAATCTTTGGCTGAAGCGAGGTGGCATGTGGCTGCTCCCCAACTCCAACCTAGAGAAGATCCAGGTTTTAAGCCCCTTGGCAGGAAATGAAGATGAGCGAAATCATCGAGAAATATCACTTGTGCCAGGGTGGACCCCAAACTGCCCAGAACCAGAGGTGAAAACATCCAGATAGCTGAAACAATCACCTGCTCTGGCAACCTATATAAGGGCAATTCATGGCATACTGGCGCCACCCAAGAGATTGTAGACGCAAACAATGACTCAGACAATAAGCGGTTGATTGAATCTGGACAAATTCAGACAAATTCTGAACTGGAATTAAACCATTTTTGTGACACGTTCCCTTTTCTAGCCATCAATATCCATCAATATTCTGGTTTCTCCGAAAATCAGGCATCCCTAAATTTCATGGTTAATCACTATATTTCTCCGAAATCGCACACCTCTAAGTGTTCAACCACCATTTTCCCCATGAAAATCGCTATTTTGGAGCATGCACCATCCTCAAAACATGGCCGGGTGACCCGCAAGGGGCCCGTGGCCAGCCCGCGAAAGCGCGCATCCATAGCGGACAGATCCAGGCCTTGTGTCTCTCCAAGGCCAGCGTCAGCCAGGGCTAAGGAGATGCTTAACCTGGAGGGCACCACACCTGGGCGCTGGGGCATGGCCTAGGGGAGCTGTGGCATATCACAAATTTGAGGGATTATGTCGTACTGTATATGTATTATATATATATTTATTTATTTATATATTTATTTATTTATCTATTTATTTATCTATTTATTTATGTGTTTATTTATGTATTTATACATGTGTGTGTGTGCCATGGTCAAGGCATGATATTCATATGACAAATGGATTATGGCATGGTCATCGGTTCCATACTGAGCATCCCATGAATGGATTGATGACAATCCACAGATATAGCTAATTTGCCCAGGGTTCAAAATTCAGACCATGGTCATGGTCACATGGTCACATGTTCATATATATATAGTATTACATATGTATATATATAATATATTATGATATGTATGTTAAGTACATATTCCCTGCCAGATCCACTTTTTGCAGTTCCAACTTTCCTGACCCCAGCCTCCCATCCCTCAAAGCCTGAGGGAGCAGCAGACGCGGCCAAAACGCGGCGCAGGGCCAGAAGAGGAGACCAGCCTGGAAATAGCCAGGCCTGTGAAACCCCTGTCCCTCAGGAATACGTCTGATTTAGATTACAAGCCCTCAACTTAGACCCCTGAATTTTAGCCGCCGTGTCTTTTCCTTGGCATGTAATGTCACTAGTCCTTGCATTCCTACATCTCCTTGTTGGACTCCGTTGGCGATTTATCTAAATTGCTATTACTGCAATAATTGAAAGTGAATGCACTAGTTTAATGAATGACAGAAAAAATGAAGAAACACCGAAAGACCGTTGTATTTTAACTCATATTGGAGAACCACATATGAAGAAACACATTAATATGGCGACTGATTATGCTGTCCGAGCTCCAATGCCTGGAGATTGTGGAACGATATAACACGTCGTTCAAGGACTCGCTGCACCAAAAATGAGTTTCGGCTCCGACAATTTGGGACCCCGAGATTCTTCAATATGCTAAAATTTCCCCAAATGCCCCTCTTGGATCATTTGGGGTATTTTAAGGTATTTGCTATTTGGAGACCAAACCATGAACCCTCTGGCAATCAAGCGTGGCCGGAAATCACTCCTTTAGTTCGACAGCTCCATTTAGTTCAGGGATTTCCCTGGTGGAAAAATCTTTGACAACCAAACAGCAATTCCATGTGAATCCATTGATCACCATTAGTCACCATGAATCACTATCAACCATTAACATTCAGGCTTCGTTCTTGATCATCAACTCGGTCCCCATGTTTGATCTTCATGACCATTAATCACCATTACCCTCTGGTAAACATACAAAAAACTATGGAAAGATCCACCATTTTTCATGGGAAAGTCCACTATTTCTATGGCCATGTTCAATAGCTCTGTAAACGTTTACCAGAGGGTAACTCATTAATATCACTATCAACCACATTCATATCACGGATGTCCTGGTGATCGCCAGAAAATCCATCATATTACCTATGAAAAAAATGGTGAATAATAACCACAATTGTGACTGATTGTTCACCACTAATCTCATTTTTTTGTAATATTAGCGTAATCGCCATTAGCTTTATCCGCATTCTCAATCTCAATCATCATGTTTTAAGAAAAATAAGAATTAATCGTTATTATTCGGTAGTCCATATTCTTAATCGCCATTCACTTCACGGATAGAAACCATCCACCAAGCCACCCCATTTATGTTGCTTGAATCAAAAGATGTTTCTGTTGCAGATAAACCAGTCTTAACCCCTCTAGTGGCGTTTTTTTTTAATGCGCCATTATTGTTTAACCCCTCTAGTGAACCAACTTAACCCCTCTAGTGTTTTTTCAATGGCCATTCATATTCAAGTGAATCATGATGAACTTAATCCCCATTCTTAATCATTAATCCCATTAGGCAGTAATCTTATAATCTGAATCACTAATGAATAACAAGTGAATCAGTATTAACCACTAGCAATTTATTAGCAATTGAATGACTATTGAATCATTGTTGATAAACAATAAATATTGATCCACAATTAACTTAACCTTCAAAAAACAGTGAATCAGTAGTAACCACAAATACTTCGTCAACCACTAATCATGAATCATGAATTATTGCTATCCATTAATCATTGAAACATTGCTAACCACTATATATTCATGTATTAACTCCGCAATGGTTTACTATGAATATGAATCATTTATTAACCACTGAATCATTATTAACAATTAACCCTTAATCATAAATCATGATAAGTAAAAATGATTTACCAAGAAACTTCAATAATAAATCATTGTTAACCACTAGTATATCAAGTGTTGGCATTGTTAACCATTGAACATTAGTCAGTGAATCATTACCATTAACCATTTATTAATATAGATGGTTGCTAATATTAATGTTTGCCATATTAACCATATTAACCACATTAACCATATTAACCAAAATCATAAACCATTCATCAATAATGTCATTAATCATTACCATATCCAAAAGATCAGCAACCGCGCCTAGCACGCCTAGGCCATGCCATCGATCCAGCACCACCAGACCACCCAGATGCGGCGGAGGATCGCAGGACGACACCACCCGGCAACGCGCCAACTGCGGCCCAAAAATGCCCAAAATCGTGGGGAAAAGCGGTGGTTTCACCAAGGAAAGTGAAGATTTAGCCTCTGGTAAACGTTTACATAGCTATTGAACATGGCCATAGAAATAGTGGATTTTCCCATTAAAAATGGTGATTTTCCATAGTTATGTTAAATTACCAGAGGGTAACCAACTAAAATTATGGGTGTATTATGTTTTCTCGGATTTCACGAAGAAAAATATGGTCGTTTCACGCAATTGAAGCAACAAAACTGGCAGGTCTTATGGAATTGAACCATCAAAAATGCTGAAGACTGGTAGTTTATCCATCAAAACGGGGAATTTAACTAATGAATTAGATATGTAGTTGGGAAATGGGATATGATATGGGATATATATATACATATATATATATATTATAACATAATATATATATAATTATATATGTAATTATATATATATAATTATATATATAATTATATATATAATTATATATATAATTATATATATAATTATATATATATATGTAATCAAGTTGGTATGATATTTGGGTGTGTCCGAAAGTGGGAGACATCCCAAGTTGTTGCTATTTCCATTGGGAAAATGACGATCAATCATCAAATTCGGAGATACCCATTTTGCAGGCAAACCCATTTGGGATCCCCAGTCACTCAAGGATCCTGTTGCCTCAAATCCAAGCACCTCCTTGAAAAAAAGATGACAACAATGATTTCATTTTAAGAAGTTGGTTGTTTTCAATCCATGGGGGTACCCCTAGTTCATGGGGGTACCCCTAGTTATCATCCATTTTAGATTGGGATTTTCCTTATTTCAACCATCCATTGTAAGAAAAGTAGCAATAAAAATTGAAGAGTCGATCGTCAATGTCAAGCCCATTTCCCGCCTCGTCGGGCCCCAGATTTCTCTTGAGCACCTGGCAATTTCTTGGGGAAAACGGATACATATAGGTTCCATATGGCTGGGGGTCCCCCAAGAACTGGTTAGTTTACAGTTGATCATGGAAAATCCTAGTAAAATGGATTTTGGGGTTGCCCCTATTTTAGGAAATCTCCACATCTGTTCCTAGAACCAGTGATGAAAATTCTCCATCCCTGGGCACCCCACACCTCGCAAGCAGCATGGGCGACATCTTCCAAAGGTTCCCAAATCACTACTTTTCCAGGTGCTTCCATGGCGCGCACAGCTGCCACAGCTGACACACCTCGATTTTTGACTTCCAGTCCAAGTTGGAGGAGTTTCAACACATCATCTGCACAAAAAGCTGCCAGTCTGATCCATGTGCTCGTTGTATCATGTTGTATCGTGGGCCGTTTTCCAGTTGTGTGCAAGTCACCTTGTCCGCCAAGGACCAGAACATCCTTGCAGCCTTTTGCTGCAGCGGAAGTTTCCACCGCAATGGCGCTCAAGAGGGAAGATAGGCTACCTGGTCCTGGCGATGCAACGCCAGAAGATCAGGCATCCAAGATGTGCTGCAGCTATCTGCAGCTGCTATAGGGTTAGTGAATATTCCTCAATTGTAAGAAATGTGCATTCTGCGCCTAGAAAGGGCCTTGACCGTCTCTTTCTGCCCTCTCTGAACAGCCTCTGGGAAAGTAACAACATCTCAGCCAACATGCTGCTGCAATTCACATGAAGCCACCAGTTTCTTTCACTTTGATAAAAATCCAAGTTCTTCGGTCTATCCCCTGGTAAACATAGAAAAAACTATGGAAGATCACCATCTTTAATAGCTAATTCAACTATATATATATATACATATCTATATATATATAATTATATATTTATGGGCCATTTTCAATAGCTATGTTTGTTATTACAAGAGGCTAGGTGCCCCATCATGCGGCGGCGCCTTTTTGAGCCAACTCCTTGGCGCGCGCCGGAAGCGCGTCCAACTCAGCCATGCGTTGGCTCTGCTCCAATAGCCTGATGGAAATCCATTGCTACATAGCATGGCTGATAGCTATTGATAGCTATTGATAGCTATTGATAGCTATTGATAGGTAATGATAGGTTATGATGATATCCTAATATCATACCATATCATTCTCATATATGATTATAATTGATTATATATGTCCTTATAGAATATATAGACTTCTCAGCTTCGATGATGTGGAATCACGAAATGCCTAAAGATAAAAGCTTCTTAGTCTTCATGTGTCTCTCACTGCCATGATTATAGAATATGAGAAATCTTTGTGTGTCACTGACATATCGTTTATAGATACAAGTACAATATCATATGTAAATAAATATACGTAAAATAAATTATGATGTTCTGGATATCTATGATGTCGTCTGCGCGTGTGTGTCTGTACATGTCTGTACTATATATCGAACAAATGTGCCTGCCAGGGCCCTCCTTGCTCCAAAGATCAGGATCTTGAAATGCACCTGGCTTGCCGCTGTCAGAGCTGAGAGGTGTTGGAACCAGCAGGGAAAAGAAATACAGTTCTGACAGTAAAGGATATGTCACCAAGAAGCGAAGATGCAAAAAGATCTTTCAAACAAATGCTGCGTTTGCAGATGTTCCAATTCCAACATATTCCAACTATCTGGCAAAAGTGGGGATGGTTCATCATTGGGTTTACCATGGTTTACCTCATTATTCAGCAACCATGAAATCTTAAGATGTCCATCCATTTCCAGCATATCCACCAGAAAAAGAACTGGTCTACCAGTCGGCCACCTGCCGCATCACCCAGCAGTTTCCGCAGCGCCCCCTCAGGGTCTCCACCTGCTGTGAAGGTCAGGATGTATCTCAGTCGTTTGAAAGAAAAACCATGGGTTCTCCTATCCAAGCTTGATTCGAAGGGCTTTTCCTTGAAAACCCATGGGTTTCTACTTTCTACGATCCAAAATTGGGTCGTTTCTCAAAATGAGGCTGAACACATTTAACCCCAAGCTGAGATTCATTGTCCATCACATTGACATGCTGTCGACATGCTGGCGGCTAAGCTAATTCAGGCTTCTCAGCTTCCTCAAGAAATGTGACCAGAATTACCAACTTTCTCTGAACATCTCTGAACTGTTTCTGATGATGTGGGCATGGATCAACCCCTATTATGCCACATTTGGGGGAATGAAAACATCCATCTACCAGATATTTTGGTGTTCACCATGGGTACAGTGCAGGGTAAAGGGCGAGAAATGGGAGGTGCAAACCATCCCAACTTGAGGTTTCTTCTTGAGTTTACCACATCAACTGTCGTTTCTATTCCTTGCTGGCTGCCATGCGTTTGCCCCAGTGCATGCCTTGACTCAGCGCCATCTGCGTTTCAGGTAGAGCATCTGGCCTCAGAGAGGGCTTCACTAATGTCAACCGCTGATTCATAAACCATACTAAACCATACTAAACCCTGGTTTATTAATTAAGGGATTAACCACCAAACCGTGATAAGGTGCTACAGTAAGATGGTACCCTCACCTCGATTAAACAGGCCGGGGGGGGATTGTTAGTTCAGGGTTTACATTACAGTAATTCGTAATATTTGTTCAGCATACTTTGGGAGAATTGCTTCTGGACTTTGCCCGTACACTCTTGCGAGTCGGAACGGGTTTTTGCATCTTTTGGCAATTCATATCTCGAGTATCTCCTTCCATTCTTGCTACAACTTCTGAATGCTGCCCCATTTGCTCCCCATCAACTGCGATCTTGGCACCCCCTGCCGGGACATGGGCAGTTCTGGGGCCCCGATCAAAATAGCCTGTGGATGCTACAACGCAACCTATATCTCGGACATGGTTGCAAGTCAAATTTATGAATAGATCTAATAAGTGGGTAAATCACATCAAATATCTTTTAAATGATGTTTTTGCAATTATCCTTAAACAAATTGTATCACGGCAAATCTTAAATCATAGGTTTTAACCCATTCCCCAAATATCGTGGAGCACCTGGAGTGGTCCACTCCGCCAGGGAACGTGATCGGCGCTCTCAAGAGCTCTGGCCGCATGGTGACCGCCCGGCGCATCAAGAGCTCTTTGCAGCGGTCAAAGGCCTAGCGCCATGGTTTGGGCCATCAATGGCCATCAATTTCAATTTGTTTACCTTTTAATTGACCTTTTATGTTTTTTTCAAATGAAGTTCTGGGATCCACAAGCCATGATCTGAATGATCTGCTGATATCCTCCATTTCTGCGGTCTACTAACATATCCCATGAGAAATCTCCACCAGCCGCCTCCCGTGCTGCATGCCGCAGCTGCTCCTCCTGTTGCTTCAGCTCTTGCCAGCTTTTGCCTCTCTGCAGCTGCCATGCCTCCACCAAGTTGGCTCATCCCCCAATTATGCCATGATGGTTTTATGGGTGAAAATCATACGGTTAGTTTTATGGGGCAAAAGTATGACTTTTTCCTGGAAAACGATGTTTTTGTTCTTTTGGTACTCTATTTTCAGACAAGTTCTGTTTTTTGGCAGTATTGGGCAATGGAAGCAGATGTCTGAACGTAAATCACATAGATGTTGGATGCATTACCCTGCCGTGTTCAATTCAAATTATGTTGGGTTTTGTCTAGATCTGGGTATACGGTATACAATGGTAAACACATCAGTCCTGATCCTTGATTTATTTTTCCCGCCCAAAATAATCCAGTTCCGGCTTTTTGGCTATCCCCCATATTTTTTGGGGGTTCCATTTTTTTCAGGTAATTCACCTAAAAAGTCCAGCTAGGTATCGGGGTAGTTCCCCTTCCTCTGTGTGTTTGTGTGTCATTTGGGTGGGCTATCCACCATTTCGGAAGCCGGCTTCGCCGCCGCGTCGCTGCGCACTGCCTCCAGGCTGGCTTCGACAAAGTCTTGATGCCTTTCCTGCGCATCCAGAAAGGCCTTCAGCGCTTCATCGCCGTCCTGGGCCTGGGTGAGCCAAAACGAGTGGATATGAGGATGGGGAGGATAATGCAACCATCGTAGGATAGGAAGAACCTATGGGAATATATCATGTTTGGTGGCCATGGTTGGATATAATGGGATAATATGGGATATAAATCGACATCAAACCATTATCATCGCCCAACTTAGTTTGACCCTGAGAGTCGCCCATCAAGTAGCCACTTGCGATCATCATCCCAGGAAATAAGAAATAAAAGCTCGTGAAAGTTGGAATCATCCCAGGCATGTTCAAGGATCTTTGAAACCATGACCATGATACCTTGCACATGTTTTTCAGTTCGCTGGTTAGACTAACGCGTGTCCCTCTTTATGGCAAAAAAAACGAAGTATTAAAGTACGGTTACCGTGACAAAGCAACCATTCAAGACAAACCAGACAAAGCCAGAAGCCAACATCCCAGCTGATCCCAGCTGCTTCGGCTTTGGCCACGGGCACCTGGAATAGGACCTGGCCGGGTGTCGGGGAGGATTTGAGACATATCTGAAAAACATGGTACATGCATATATACATATATATATATATATATGTATACATATGTATGTATGTATGTATGTATGTATGCATGCATGTATGTATGCATGCATGCAAGCATGCATGGATGGATGGATGGATGTATGCATGCATGCATGCATGTGTGCATGTGTGCATGTGTGCATGTGTGCATGTGTGCATGTGTGCATGTGTGCATGTGTGCATGTGTGCATGTGTGCATGTGTGCATGTGTGGATGTGTGTATGTGTGTATGTGTGTATGTGTGTATGTGTGTATGTGTGGATGTGTGTATGTGTGTATGTGTGTATGTGTGTATGTATGTATGTATGTATGTATGTATGAATGTACGTACGTAGGTAGGTAGGTAGGTATGTATGTATGTACGTACTGTATGTATGTATGTAATGTAATGTAATGTAATGTAATGTAATGTAATGTAATGTAATGTATGTATGTATGTACGTCTGTAAGTATGTAATGCATGTAATGTATGTAATGTATGTACTGTATGTACGTATGTACGTATGTACGTCTGTACGTCTGTACGTCTGTACGTCTGTACGTCTGTACGTCTGTACGTCTGTATGTCTGCATGTCTGCATGTCTGTATGTCTGTATGTCTGTAGGTCTGTACGTCTGTACGTCTGTACGTCTGTACGTCTGTACGTCTGTACGTCTGTACGTCTGTATGTCTGTGTCTGTATGTATGTATGCATGCATGCATGGATGGATGGATGTATGTCTGTCTGTCTGTCTGTCTGCATGCATGCATGCATGTATGTATGTATGTATTTATGCATGCATGTACTGTATGTATGTATATTTGTTTCTCAGACGCATGTCGTGCATCAGGCCATGTTTTCCATGCGTTGCATGAGATCCACCGGCCTCATTAGAGCTCTGGTAGTAGCCCTCTTGGCCCACCTGACAGCAGCTGCTCCAAGCCAAAATTGAGGTCTCTCAGCCACATGTGTGTGTCTGTGTACATGTATATATATATATATATTAATATACGAGTATATATATATTTACACATAATATGCATATATAGCGTACAAATAGAAAGACACATATGGTCAGGCCCCCAAACGATAGCTAAGTTGACTCAGAACTTGGTGAACTATGGTTTAACTATGGTTTAAGTGGATATTAAACCATAGTTAACTATGATAAACCTCAGTTAATAAGGTAGTTAATGGGCTTTATAAACCAACCAACATCACGGGGCCTCAGGCAGCTGGATCCCATCTCTCTGCGCCAACCTCAGCAAGGGATGATTCCCAATGCCCAGAAGATTCGCACATTTTTTAACTAAAAAAATGTGGAATCTGGCGCTGGAAAAAAAACACCAAGGATGCACTTGGTTTGATCATTCGAGGAGGGTTTAAAGCCCTGCAATTTACACAGGTTGTCGTGGGTTTGTCATGGGTATGTCACGGGTTTTTGAAACACGATGCATTTTTAGCTTTGTCACGGGTGGGGTAGGCCACGGGTGTACTAGGCTTAAATATCCCACCCGATCTCTTTATATGATTTTTGCTTCAAAGGCAACAAACCAAGAAAATGGGCTACCAGCGGAGGGAATGGTAAGATGTTCGGATGCTTCCGAGACAAGTAGACACTGATTCCTTTTACATAGCAAACTGATTGAACTCATGATCGATAATACCGTATCATCCCTGGTATATCCTGGTGAAAAACTGTCGAAGGAACCTGTGGCCCTTGGCATTGGAATATGTGGAAAACCCCTGAGGTTCATTCCTGGACCCATCAACAAATTCGGGAATGTCCCATCGTATACCACACGGTTGGTACACAAATGGTTATAGCAAATGGTGTATGTATACACAAACGGGGTATGGTATACCAAATGGTGTATGACAAATGGTACACAAATGGTGTATGTGCAGATGCATATCGCTTAGGCTTAAATGAAAATGATGCATCTGCACAGGTGTGACATGACCTTCCAAGGGGGTATCGCTTTTTGGGAAGGTCCCATCGCTTGCCTCATGTCTGCACAGTTTCTGAAAATCAATGTCCGTCCTCTACATATTTCCTAGTGCTGGAGTTTGTGCGGTGGCTCATATTCATATATAATCATATATATACACACACACATCTTTATCTCTACTATACTATATATATATATTATTATTGTACTGCACACTTTTCTAGATCTGACATTTCCTTTGAATACAAACCCGATCAACCACTATCACTCGCCAGCTTGTGGGCCCCTGCTCTCGAAGCTTCGAGCTATTGCTGGCTCTTAAGCCCTGAAGTAGCATCTGGCAGGACGGGCGCCAAGCGTTCCCCCGAACTCTCCAAGAAATCCGGGCGTTTTGCTCAATGGCCGCAAGGGTATCATATGGATTTATATGGTATGTAAGTGTATGTTCTGTTTTTACACATGTGTGGTGCTAGGCCTCCACATCCGCGAATATCGTGGCTGATGGATTCGCTGCACAAAGAAACATGTTCGGTCAGATTGATGGTTTTATGAAACTTCACTGCAAAGAATCAAAGAAACTCCAACCACTTCACTACATCCACCTGAGTTGCTGCACCCTCCAGGCCCATCGAGCGAAAGTCCTGTGCAGGAAATTCAGAGGGCACTTGGAACAAAATCTGAGATGTTGAATCACCCCGGCTGGGCCGCTATGAATCCAGCCTCATAGGCCTGAACATAGTAGTCGTCTGCCATGGCGAAAGTGAGAATCGAAACTGTGAAAGTACGAAGTTGAACTCTTGACATCGCCTTCCTGAACATGGGCGCCTTTGGCAAATCAGTTTCGTTACATTTGACTCTCCGATTTATACAAATAACCTCACTTTGATGCTCCGACTCAATGATTTGAATGCTGCGTGAAGAGAGTCTTCACATGAGCTTGTTGTGTATGCAGATTATGCACAGCTTATAGTTTAGTGGCAAACTAGTCTCCCATGTAATCTTCTCTTTTTTGACTGATCATATCGCCTGGACCCCTTGGAAGACAGGTAAAGTACATGGACACCATGCAGGTCGTATTTGTTATCCCTGGCCACTCGATGAATGGATCGGCTTGGGTACGGAAAATGGTTGGTCTGTGTTTCAGCCAACAGCTTTCCAAGTCCGGTCTGAAATCCAATTGCCCTATTTGCATCAATCACTCTGATTTTTCGAACCAGAGGATGCCAAAAGTTCCAAAAGTGGGTGATTGTTCTATTGCATGAATAGTTAATGTATATATTAATATATGTGATTATATATGTATTATATATATATATATTATTTATTATATATTATATATATATATTATATATACTAAGATCGTTTAGTTTCACGTGTACATCTTAACATACGTCTTGCCGTCTTTTCCACATATTACACCTTTATCTTAGGGGAGGTGCCCCAAGCCAACCTCGAGCCATCTGAGCACACTGCCTCCATTGAGGTGTTGCCTGGCATCATAAATTCCGATAAATTGGTATGATAATGTAATAGTGTATAATGTACATTGAATTAAACTTAAACTATATTAAACTTATATAAGTTCTAAATTCATCTAAATTGGGGAGTCCAAGCATTCCGCACGCCAAAAACGGACCAAAATGCGTTGTGTCATTTGATTGCTTTCCAGACAGAACCCACATACTCACGTACGGTCGTTTGAACAAGATCGATCAAAAATCCCACCGGCCAGTGATGCTGACAAATTTCTGGCATTCCGTCCCGTCAACAATCTCTGTCACTTGTCAATAAATGGCTTTGTCTGAAAATAGGGTACCTCTAAATGAATAGGTTAATCACCATCATCCCTATGAAAATGATTGAAAATGGCTATTTGAAGGGTATACCTGATTTTCAGACACCCAAATGCTTATCCAGTAGTGTGCTAGCAACACGTACGCTGGATCGTACAGATGGTGCACCTGCTCATTGCAACGTTCTGCGCGACCTGCGGAAGGAGCTGCGATGGAATCTTGGCGAAGCCTCGTTTCATCTCGTTTCACCCTTTCCTTGGAAGCCTTACATTGCCTTACATCCCCTCATTTGGGAGTTTCCTAAAATAGGGGTACCCCCAAACCATCCATTTTAGTAGGATTTTCCATTATAAATAATTATAAACGATCCATTTCGGGATACCCCCATTCCAGGAAACCCCCATTTTGGACATTCTGCAACTTGAGAGTCCTGTCTCCAGCCTGGAGTCTTAATGTCGTCACTCACCTGCAGGAATGTCCGGATTGAACTTGAAGAGTGAACAGCGTCACCCCAAACACCAAAATGCATCATCCTTGACGACACCAACACAGTTAAAACAGTTGATCGGCCCTGGATCACTTGGAAACTGTTGAAGACCTTTGACAGTCGAAACTTAAATGCAGTTTGTCGAAATCATCCCTGGCCCCACTGAAATCAAACATTCCAAGACTTGGTTTAACTCATGTTTAATTTATGGCAAAAAGCTGCGCGAGACCCCATGATTCGATGGCGACGGAATCTGTGATCCCCTCGGAATGCGCCTTGCGTGAACGAGGCGTCATCCCCTCCATGATGCCCCCAGCGTGGCGAAGGCAATGGTTGGACTGTCGATATGCCGCATATTGCCACCTCGTGTTGTGTCTGTTTCAATGGTGCCTGCCTGACTATTGCGAGTGTAACGTGAACGTAAGAAAATCGTAAGAATGTCATTTTGATAACATGCATTGGTCTTGCTATATCATGAGCCACGAATACTTCAGGGTCGCAGGCTACTATGACAGCAACGCTGGGCAACCAACAAATACATGGATTCTGATACAAGCAAAGGAATACAAGATGTTTTGCACAGTGAAGGACATGCACAATTCCCTATCATGCTAATCCGAATGCCTAGTAGAATCGTCTGGATGGCAGTGCTCCAAACCTCCAAACTGATCCCTTCCTACTGGCTGACAGCGACTCCTGTGATTGATTCTGAGAAATATTGATATTACACCACGTCAAACAAGTTAGTATACATGTTTATACATTTACATAATTGTATTGAAATGTATTGAATATATATTATATATACTATTATATACTCATATTCAACATCTGCTAACATTGGGTTGGCACTTGCTTTGGTGAGTTGACATTCAGTATCATACCCCTTCCTGCAAGTTGGTCAGATTTTTGCGACCTTCGTCTGCAACTTTCGTAATCATCCACCTCGCTTCAGGTGTGATAGGGTTTGTCTGAAAGTAGGCTACCCCAGTCCATCCACTGGTTCCTCCTCACTTGCTATTCGATGTTGGAGAATTTGGCCGGGCATGCCGCCCGTTTTTCAGACACACCCAATATAATTTTGCAGGGTGAAGATCAAAAAGACCAGCTTGATGCATTTTTGTTTCACCAGATCTCCGGTAAGGTTGCTGTTGTCATCAGAATTTAGCATGAAATGGCTGTGTGCTGTCATCTTCCCTGAAAAATATCATGGGGAGCATCCAACTTTAGGGATGGAAACGAAAAAAATCAACCACCAACTGGCAGCCTAACTGGCATCAACTGGTCTACGTCCTCCCCATGAAACGCGTCCCACGTTCCGTGCGCAGTTTAACCCACTTCAGGCTCCCTCCGCTCCCTCTCTGGATCTCTCTGGAGAGTCGTGAGTGATTGGGCCCAATGAGTCACAGCGACGAAAACTCGGCCACTTCCCCTGCTCCGCGGGGTCGAAAAAGGCAGGATAGGGAAGACCAATGAGCCAACCAAACAAGGTGAATAAAATACTCGTGGGTATCCAGGAGAATCTCACCAGAATGCTCAAGACTCACCCAAACCAACCTGTAACTCTTCTCGTCTTTACATGTCTTTACATGTCTTTACATGTCTTTACATGTCTTTATTATTCTTTATAAAATTTATTATTCTATATTACTCTTTATTATGCTTTATTATAATTTATTATTCTTTATTGTTCTTTATTATAATTTATTATTCTTTATTGTTCTTTATTATAATTTATTATTCTTTATTATTCTTTATTGCCACATCTGTACGTCATAGGCCGTCTTTGCCTGAAATGGTCTTCCCCCATCCCTTGTCACTCTCAGCCAACCCGGAGATGACGATAGACTCTGGCATCGGACCAGGTGAACGTATCATGCACAGAATTCTGTTTTTGAATCTGGGCAGATTAGCACCGAAAATGGTGGCCGGAATGTTTGTTCGATTCTCGGCTCACTGGTGATGGGTGCCGTTTTGTTTGGACTTTAGAGCCATGAGCAGTGGGCAACACACATAGCGATCAAAACAATATTCTCTCGCTGGCAGTTTCAATAATCAACCCATTCAAAAATATGAAGCTCAATAATTGGGAACGGACCAACAAAGTGAAAGCAGCAACTAATGCGTGCTAGGGTGGAACTTGATTGGTCTCGGCTCAACCGGCCCAGTGCATAGGGCATGGCTGCGCATAGGGCATGGCTTATCGCCGGGGCTTTTCGTAAGCTCACCGCAGTCCTTCAAAGGTTGTCCGGCAGAGGCTTTGCTTTCGGCAAGCCACCGGTTTCAGCACATGCTGGTGAAAACCGGGAAAGCAATGAGGTAACCATCTTATCCTGGGCAACGCAACACCCTATGCCAAGTCTCCAACCTGAGGCCACGCCACAGATGCACTGTGCGGATTCTCTTTGCGCGTGGCCCACTGTTTTCTTTGGTAATTTTTGAGCAGGTTCCAGGCAAGTCAGCCTGCTGAGCACCTTGAATTCACCCCAAGTTGTTAGGGTTCAACTTGCATCGGACTAGTGCAGAAAGCCAAATCCTTTTAATGCTCCAGACCAGAAAGCAACCGTGACAAAATGCTGTGGTAAGTCAAGGCCCTGAATGGCCCCCACCTGATTTTCTGATCACATTTAATGTTACGAGTGCAACTTTATTCCAGCTTTCTGCGGATTCCGCAGCTTGCCCATTACGGAAGATCCCCCTGCAAAAAGGGAGATGCAACTAGAGCAGTGCTCCCCAACTGAAGGCTGAAATTTCTCGTCATTGGCGAGAAGCTCAAAACTTGTCTGCTTGGTCTGAGTAGTACATCTTCTGCATTTGACAAAATCCTGAGAAGGACACAACATGGCCTTGGTCGCCGCAGCGGGGCAGTTGGTCCAGGAGCCCTCAGCAAAACATGGTCTGTTTCAGAGGGGCCAAGAGCGGTGCGTTCTCGCCGATTTTTCCCAGGTTATCCATTTGTGGTATGGTATCTCCTTTAAGACTCGCCTACAGATTCCACTGTGCTGTATTTCTTCGCTTCAGTCGTGATGCTTTGCGGCGATTCTCATGTGTGAATCTGATTTGTTGTTGAGCCACATCCCCGAAATATGATAATTGTACCATTTTGCATGTAGTGGAAAACAAAAACTGGATACTACCAAGCAACAACCTATCATGGCTCGATGAATGCTCGATGACTTCCTACTTTGCTGTGTGGTACATTGCGAGTTTCTGCTTGCCTTCATGGCAGGCTTGGTATCTTCAGCAGGTGTAGTGTCCTCTTCAGAATTTGTAGCATTCACTCTACCTTTCGCGCAAAGTACTTTCAGAGTGATCAACCATGGCCTGTTGTTGCATACAAAGGGCGCTTCACCAAAAGCATGTTGAACGCATTTTTTCAATTTTGAAATACAAAGCATCATTCTCCGGATAACAGTTGCCATACGTTGCCATCACAAACAGACACAAGTCATCTTCGACAAGCGGCTCTTCGGGAGATAGCCGGCGTGGTGGGGATCGCTCAGTAGATACCCAAAATACCAGCCGTTCCTCGTCTCATGCGTGACCTGACAAGGCATGGAACAAGTTTACAGCTATGTAAAGCTATATCTTTGTGTCTTGTTGAAACCAAAATGGGGTGGTTGTTGGCTTTGGCAAAATCATGCTAAGAAGATTTGCAAAGAGTTCTTCTCAGATTGGTATGGGTCAAAAAGGGTCCGGAATTGTTTTGGCAATTATGTTTTTTCAGTTTTGGGATTTTTTGTGGATCTGCTGTTCTGTCCGTTTTCCTTGCAATTTGCAGCATTTTGGAGCTACAAGCTGCCATTTCAACGGTATTGCAACATTTTGGAGTTCGAACCTCTCATTTTCCATGACATTTGCAACAGTTTGGTGCTCAAACTGTTCATGTTGGATGGTATTTTGCGACTAGGGGCCACTTAGGGTTTGTTTGGGTTTGTTTTAGGGTTTATTTAGGATTGATTTAGGGTTGGCTTGGTTTTTTAACGGTTGTTTTTGGCGTTTTTCTTTAAGGGTTGGTTTTAGGGTTGGTTTGGGGGGCTTATTTATATAGATAGCGTTGGTTTAGGATCTATGTAGGGTTGGTTTAGGGTGTCTTTAGGCGTGGTTTAAGATCATGTCGGATCTGTTTCAGGTTGGTTTAGGTTTCAGTCAGAGTTGGTTCAAGGTTCATTTAAGTTTGGTTAAGATCTATTTGGGGTGGGTTCAGGAATTATTTAGGGCTGATTTAAGGTTTATTTAGTGTAAGTTTCAGAGGTTTGTTTAGGGGTTACTTAGGGTTGCTTTTGTTTTTTGAGTGGTGTTAGTTTGGGTTTATTTAGGGTTGGTTTAGGGTTTGTTTGGTGTAAGTTTCAGGGTTTACTTAGAGTTGCTTTAGGGTTGGTTTAGGGTGTACTTTGTGCATGTTGGTGCTTATTTAGGCTTGAGAAGCACAAAAGCAGAAAACAGCAGCGAAGCAGAACAGTGGAGAAGCGAAGAAGCAAAGAAGCAGAACAGCAAAAAGCAGAGAAGCAGAACAGTGGAGAAGCAGAGAAGCAAAGAAGCATAAAAGCAGAAGCAGGGAAAAGCAGAAAAGCAGAAAAACACAAAAGCAAAGAAGCAGGGAAACAGATATCCAAAAAAAAACACAGTAATTCCCAGAAAATTAAAAAAAAAACTGTCAAAAAGCCTCCTACCCTGGCTTTCACATCCCAAATTTGCGGCCAGAAGACACAACATGTTGGTAAGTGGCGGATATCCACGACAACCCTTGCCTGATAACCCAACCACTACTATGGGATCATATAACCCATGACTCTATTGATTCTGGGATGTAGACTGCATTCCCACCTAAAATGGTTGCTTATGTACTGTACTGCAACTATGACACACTATGGCACTATGGTATGTAACCCAGACCCATGCCCCACGGAACCTCAACAAGTTGCCCCACGGAAAGTTTCACAAACCGCTCTGCCGGTTCGACCGGAACTGGCAGGGCAAAGCACGGGGCAAAGCGCGAAAAAAACGATGCAACTTGATGGTTCAGCCACGTTGCCAAGCCAAAAACATCAGATACTCAACTGGTTCATACTGGTCTCAAATGGGTTTCATCTTCGTGAAAGGCGAGATAAAGTTGAAACGATGAAGTGTGAATCAAACGAGAATCATCTGAGAATCATCTTGCTTCACGAACCATTGCAGTAAACAAGCTCGAAGCCAAAGGCTTAGCTGGGTTTGGGCAATACAAGCACTTCCAGGTAAGATACTTCAGCGAACTGCTAAGCATTGCTGAGCCGTGATCCGAGAGCAACAACCAGGGCAGCTCCACGCTTGGGCTCAAAAGGATATAGCACGACAGCACAAAAGCTCTTGGCATGATCCTGCAGCGTCGGATCAGTGAGGCTCCCACTTTCACCTCAAAACAGAAAGCTTCATGAGTCTTTAAGCATTAAAATATATTAAAATTACGCAAGACTCAAGTCTAAATAATGGTGTTCTTGGAGGCGACTTGGCAAGCACCGGAGATAAAGCTGAGAGAAGCCCTGAGCTCTCTCCAGGCCAAGAGCATGGTGTCTCGGTGAACAAATCACTTGCTTCGGGGAACCGGGAGATCTTTGTGATTCGGGCAGAGACGTTCATCCTCATCCTCCTCTGAAAATGGGAACGTTCGTGGTTGGTAGCGTCTGAACATAAGGTCGCTACTCAACATGAGACATGACCAGTCAACCTGTGGCTCACAGGCTCTTGAAAAGAGGCACAGATCCCCAAACGGCTCAAAATCGTTGACCCAAATAAAATCAAAACATGGCGAATGATGCCCCATTCTTCAGCCCCAAGTCCCATGAGAACCACGGAACAAGACGCCGTGAACGCACCTCGTCCTTTTGTTGGCTGCCCATCGACGGGGAGTGTTCCACCACATACTGCTTGGCCTTGGAGCCATGCCATTGCCAAGGTTGGCCCAGAGATTACCCTCCGGTAATCAAACATGGCTTGCTTTTATAGATGATGTTCTCATTAAAAACATTCATTTATTAAATAGTGAATTTCCCGTTGCCGCGTTTGATTGCCACAGAAAACCATGGCTATAGTTAGTTAGATGCGCCATAGATTAGTGACGTGCTATTGATCGTTGCTGATTGCCCAGGCATTTTTTCGGTGGGAAGGAGATCTGGTACTAGGCCAAGAGCCAAACTTGTTGTCTACAACTCGAGGCATTCAGAAATTCTTCACGAAAAGAGCTGGACGAGCCCAAATAGTCAGTTAATTCCAGGAGAGTCAACAATTCGTGGTTATATCTCCAGCAAAATATGTTTGTGCAACAACCTATAAATTGGTAAGAATCATCAACCAACCTGGGTAAATACGGTGAACAGTCTCCCATAATATTCCCAGTATATCCTCATGATATATCCATATTAATAGCTTGCCCCCAACACCCCAGATACGGATGAGAAATTGCCAGATAAAGAGGTAAAATTACCTATTTGCCCCCTGAAAGTTGCTGTAGTCTGCATTGACTATGGTCAACCAACAGGTGGAATAATCTTCTATTCCCACTACAGTACATGGAGGTTTCCAATCCATGGGGGTACCCCTTAATCATCATATTAATAGGGTTTTCCACTATAAACTATAAACCATCCACTTTGGAGATCCACCATTTACGGAAACCCCCCATATACCTACACATTAGGGGAACTGGGAATCCAGTGGCTAAGCGAGCCAGGTCTGAGCGTAGTGGTTGCACTTCCTTCGTCGCGACCTGATTGCGTTAGGTTAACGGTAGCACGAGGCGTGGTTTCAGGGATTGACCATCCATTTCTTGGCGGGAAGCATACAGTATAAAAGTGATTTAACCAGCAAAAAAGGTGATTTAACCAGAAAAAATACCCAGTAAATATATATACATATATATATGTAGTAAAGACAGAAATGAAATATACCATAATATACCATAATAGGGATACAATCGGATATACATAGTGGTATGCATAACAAACAACATAATGCATATGTGGGCTTCTCCCACATGAGGATACTCCAAAATTGCCTTTTAATAGGAACAATGATGACAAACAGTGACAAACCACTTCTATCACATGTGGATGAGGGGAAAGGACAGGACTGCCTGAAGTCCCGTCACATCGGCTCCCAATCTGTGACGTGAGTCAAATCAAGCAAAACATGCAGCCTACATATACTAATAGAGGCCTAGTCATGGTTTTACATCTTTTAGTCATCTATTCTCATATTTCTTTGCCATCGTTCACTGAATCGAAATTGGTGGGTTTTGTGGTTCTCCACGTTTTTGCAGCCCAAGGAACTTGATTGCGAGTCCTAAAATAGCGGATCAGCACTGCCGGCATCACACGAAAAAACCTGGCGACACGGAGGATCCGCGCTTTTGGGACGAGATGAAGAATTCCGAAAAAAACAAGAAACCCATATTATCATATATAAACCATGGTAAACCATGGTAAACCATAGGATTTTGCCATACTAAACCCGTTCTCGAACAAAGCCATATCCATCGGCTGCTTCGGCTGCTTCTACAAGCGGGGGATCGCAGCCCTGAGGGCCCCCACCAGCCCAGGCGGGCACTCAGTGCACCCAACGCACAGATAGCAAAGAGCCTGGCATGCCACGACTGGCTGCGGGTCAGAATTCGCTTGAGAACATGAAGAGTTCATGTAGAACTATAAAGATAGGCTGGTTGATAGTTTCACATAATCTCTGTATGTATGTATGTAAATTTATAAATACCCTATATTGATATATATATATATATATACAGTACATAAATGTATATGCATGTATATACATATATATATATATACACGTGTATCTCTATACATGTTTTTGCTCGACCCTTTGAGTTTCCTCGCTGTATATATATATATATGATATATGATATATGCACATAATATTAATGATTAATTAAGTTGCAAGTGTCAGTTGAATGCACCCAACACCAGGCGTGTTGAAGATGCCCTTCATATCAGGGTGGTGATTGATAGCAGCTATTACTTTTTAGGGCGCTTCCGAGTCCCATGTTTTTTCTACCTCGTGGATCCTTGTTTTACGTAATACAGTACATCGTAATACTATGTATTGGATGGGATTTGTGTTCTGTCCTGTTGATTCTTGGGATTCATCATATACGTAGCACTGTAGCAGACTGTAGCAATGTCTGAACTTCGAATATCTGGGGTTCAGGTGTGGAGCCACAGACCATCCTGATGTATTTTGAAGCTACCTCTTCCTGGTGAAAGCTGATGTTCTCATCACCATCTTCACAGGCTGTCGATTCCCACTTTGACAGCTTGTTGACCTGTTGTTTCTATTGTCTCCCATATCAGCAGAATGAATCATATGGAGGTTTCCTAAGTCATGGGAGTACCCCCAGTTCTCATCCATTTACAGATGGATTTTCCACGATTTTCCATGGCATAAACCATCCAGCTATGGGGGTACCTCCATGACTATGGAAACTCCCATAGATGTCCACAACTATTCCCCGCTGGGCCAGGGCCACCAGGCCGCCAGGCCTCAGAAGCAACTTTCGAGTCTTGCACGAGACCTGCAGGTTTTTGAGGCCTCAACTGCCTGCAGCCTATTTGAACAGCCAATGATTCCTCAACTGCCTGCAGCCTATTTGAACAGCCAATGATTCCTGCAAATCATCAACGTTTGAAGGTGTGGTAAGGTACAATTGATCTCCAAAAGCTTCAACTTGATATTCAATTCCAGATTCATCTCTGAGATTTGGAAGTTGTGCAAAAATTATAAAGTATTGACACATACCCATGTGACATGACAAGTTTGATACTGGATGGGGTATTGTCGAAGGACTAGCCTCAGATTCCCAGGCATTTTTGCCGACATTCATTGGATGACACCCCAGCTTTATGTCAATGTAGAAATCACAGTCTTCCTCCGGCTATGGCAATAATACATGTGCCATGGTCAAAACACAGTATCTATATACATATATATATATATAAATATAATCAGTATGGTCATGGTCATCTACCCCATATTGAGAGGCCTCATAATACGTATATAGATCATAGATCATAGATCCCTATTAATGCATTGATGACCATCCCAATTTGTGGGAATAAAAACCATGCTTTGACCGTGGCACACAGCTCATATACAGTCCTATGCAACCCATGATACATGTGTCTCTAGACTTGTTTCAGGTCGCATAACATACATGGTCATACATACTATCCAGCTGCGCTCTGAAGCAAATAATAGGCAAGACATGCACACTTTCCTGCTCCACTGCATCTCACGTGCAAACTTTCCACGTTCGGGCACGTCGAACCTTCTACCATTTGGGTGTGTCTGAAAATAGGGTACCCCAAAGACCTATTCTATATATATATATATATGTGTGTTCCAGGTTCCGGGACCCCCCCCTCCCCCCCATGATCATGGTTCCCCCCTCCCCCC